ACAGGGAGCCAATATTATCCCCACCATGCCAGGGCCCAGAGATCTACTGGTACACCTGGTTTCTAGGAACCCCCTTGGGCAGTCCAGGCTGAAACCCCACCCCCACCCTGTGCCCAAGGAAACCACCTGGGTGCAGAAAAGCTCTGCATGGCTGGCCTCCCCCCCACTACCCTCCCCCCCCCAGTTCAGGGGAGGGGACCTCACTTCTGCCTCCCCCGGCCCCCCCCCCAGAGGGCCCACCCAGGAGCGCAGTGAGACACCCATGCAGCCCCAACAACATGGGTGTCCCTCACTTTCCAGAAATCACAATGGCCAGTCAAGCCAGGGCAGATGTGAAGCCTCATAACCCCAACCCAGCTGGAACTTTCCCCACCCGCCCTTCCTGCCTCGCTTCATCCCAGTCAGCCGGGAGCTGGGGTTCCCCTTCTGCAGGAGCGTCCTTACCTCGGAAAGTCACTTTGGCAATCCGATCGCCCCTGCCCCGCAGCTCCGAGACGGTCTTGAGGTGGACGAGCAGGGCCATGCTGGCGTGGGGAGCTGCAGGAGCAGCGTGCGGGAGCGGAGCGGAGCGGGAGCGAGGCTGGCGCTCCCACGCGCTCCCTCGCTCCCTCGGCAGGCTGCTCCTCCCGCAGGCGCCGCTGCCCCAGAGACCAAGCCAAGCCGGCAGCTGTGCCTCCAGCCGCTCTGCTTGCTCGGCTGGGCTCCTGGAGACGCGCAGCCCTGCCAGCCCCCGCCCCTCCAAGTTGTCAGCCCAGCATCTGTATCAGTGTGTGTGCTGAGCGCCCAGCGTGCAGCCTGGCAGAGAGGCAGGCACAGTGGAATTCATTATTCAGCAGCGCTGCCTGCTTCCAGATAAAAGCCCCGTCCAGCCTCAGGTGTCCCGGCTCCAGGCCGGGTGCCTGCAGGCACCCTGGCAGGGAAGCTCTTCTGCCATCAGGACTGGGCAGATGGGAGTGGGTGTGAGCGTGGGAGGAGTGGGTGTGGTGCTGGGGGCACCCCCCACCTCAGCCCAGTGGGGGAGAAGGAACTGCATCTGTGAGCAGAAAAAACTGGACTGTTGCTTTGGGGTTTGGGGCGGTCCACAGCTGCCCCTGCCACAGTCAGGTGGCCACCCCGGCTGCTGGTGCCCGCGAGGCGCAGGGGGCGTGGCTGCTGCAGAGGGCACACTGCGCCAGGCAGTCATCGCACCCAGAGCCCCGCAGCTGCAAAATCAGCATCTACTAGGCAAGAGCGAGGCTGCTGCTGCCAACCTGCTGGCCGGTCCCTGGGAAATGAGGGAGGAGGGCACGTACCCCCCAGCCGGCGCGCGTGGAGATGGGGTCCGCACAAGCCGGGGTCCCTGTTCTGGCCCTGGATCTGGGATGGTGAGGTGCTGCTTCGAGCAAGCTCAGGAGCCAGGCTAAGCCTGGTCAGAGGTGGCTGCCTGGGAAGGCTCAGAGGCCCAAGGCACAGGACACTAACCCAGCTCATCCCAGCTTCTCTGCTCCGACCCTGTGCTAGGGAGAGCAGAAGGGACGTCTGCAGCCTCCTTTCTTCCAACAACATACCCAGGAGGGGCCGTAGGGAGAGGGCCCGGACACAGCCCGCTCGAACTTGGCCTGTTTCCAGAGCCAACCACCTGCCCTTGCTGTTTGCTCGTGTGCAGAGCCCGGACTCAGCCTGCGTCACCAGCCCCGCCCGGAGGTGCCCCTGCACCCCACCGGGGCCCGTGAGGGTTCTTGTCTTTGCTGCCATCCTTTCCCATCCCACGGGTTCAGGGTGCTGCTCGGCTGGGCTCCTCCTGCCATGGCCACGGAGCCCGGACCGTAGCGTCCCAGCGGCCAGGCTGTGTCTGAGGACGGAAGGCTGCCCAGGAAGGGCGGGCAGGATAAAAGGGTGAGCTCCACGACCTATCTAGCAGAGCCTGCAGGCTCCAGAGGACAAATATTCGATTTCCGAATTAATTTTCCAAATTAAATTTTCAAAGCATGATAACCAGAGGGTATTATTCCCTTTGAGCTCCATAGTCAGTGACCCGCATGTCGTGAGGGCCTCCTTCCAGATGCTTCCTTTGCTCTGTCACCCTCTTTTTTCTCTGCTTCTGTCTCCCTTTCTCCTTCCTCTGTCACTCTTATCTAGTCATATGGAATGGTTTTAGGATATTGTATTTACCAGTTACAAGTCAGTGTAAGTTTTTCATGTTTTATTTTTTTTTTTTCAAGATTCTATTTATTTATTTATGCAGCCAAGAGCTGGGGTGTAGGCCACAGGTGGGGCAGGGGTGAGAGGATTCACCAGCGACAGAGTGGGGAGCAGAACAGGCAGATTGACTGAGATACACTGCTGAGGGGAGCAGAGGGGAGACAAGAGAGGTCTGCAGAGCCCTGTGGGTCTCTACCTGGCTGGGGATCGAACTTGTGCTGCAGTGGCTGCCGATAGATGGAACATGATAATGAGTTTAGTTTTCTTTTTTTAATTTTATAGTAGTTTATTTTTCCATCTCAGTTGCAATCCCCTTGGGCTTCCCATCACCAAATCACCCATGTGCCATCACCATAGTCCAGTGCATTTCCCTCCCCCCACTGTTTTTGATCCCATTCCCCACTCCACCCCCATAAAGTGTCTCTGGTATATAGCTGTAGTTTTCTTTTCTTCTTCTTCTTTTTTTAATGTGACATTAAACTTACCTGGTTAGTTTAGTGTCATGGTAAGAAAAAAAAAACCTAAATTCATTATCACTTGTGAAATCATCGGCTGGCCTTATAAAGTAGAGCATCTGTGTTTGATATGAAAAAACAAAATCCATCTCATTCTAGGCCCCGAAGGGCCTGGGTTTGATAGGTCAGCACAGACTTGCACATCTTTAGGAAAAAGCCCACGAACTCACGCTACATGGAGCTTTGCTGAATGTCAGTCTCCACAGCTATAAAGTGGTCACAGTTCCATCCCACAACACAGAACACTCAGTTGAGCCAGCTGACCACCGACACCTCAACCAGACCCCGCTTTTTGGTTTCTACTCCCCCATTATCCCTTTTGGTATCTCATAGTGTATAAGTTATTCAATGAATGCGTACAGGGCGCCAGCACCAGCCCCCCGGGTTCAGGACTGAATGCGATACAGTGTGGGGTACAAGCAGAAGAGACAAATGGGCCAGCGGACACACAGGGTGAAGGGCTGGACACTCAGCTTCCAGCGAGGGGGAGGTCATTAGGGCGCCTTCCTGGAGTGGGGCGCCCTGAGGCGCCCTGCCTTGAGGGCTGTTCTTTGACGAGGTTCCTCGGGCTTTCCCACAGGTGTTGCTGCTCTGGCACTCAGGGCTGCCTCTGGCAGGGGGCGGGTTCCGCTCTCGGCCACTCAGGGTTCCTGCTCCTGTGTCTCGGGGATGTGGTGGCTCCCCACATTCCGGTGTGAGTTGCCAGAGAGACTTTCTGGTTGCAGCAGCTGCTTGGAACTCATTAGCTTCTGGCCTTACCAGCTGCGTTCATCACCATTTACAGACTCAATCTGTGCCCACACTTCTCCTCTGCCAGGATAGAGTCTGACTGCGGGCAAGGGGACAAGGAGGTGCCACTCCACGCTCTCACTGCTCTGACTGATACCAGGGTGCTGCGTGGCAGCTGGGGGGCAGGAGGGCCAGTCACAAAGCCATGGTGGGACCTTGGAAGCGGTCACCACACCCTCCCTCCCCAGGCCCCCTGGAAAGACCCAAGCCTTGCCCTGCCCTTCACACAGCCCGGGGAAGCATTGTGGGGGGTCATCAGAGGACTCTGGATGTGGGGGTGCTATTTAGAGGAGGGAGGCATTATTACCAACGCCTCCTTGGTGCCCTCCCCAAACTTGTTCTCTGGGGCAAACAGGCCAAGCTTGGGGACTTGCCCACAGGCCTAAACCACAAGCTTTGGTAAATCACCCTTTTCCACTATTTTCTTTTCGCCCCTTTCTTGTAAGCCATTCTGGTGGCGCAGTTTGAGGGGCAAGAAAAGTGAAAAGGAATTTCCCAGGGAGAGGAGAGCGATTACTGAGATAAACGTTCCTTGGGGAGCTGGAGAGCAGCTGCCAGCCTGGAGGCAGGTGGTGCCTCAAAGGGGCTGCTGCTTTTTGAGAGGCCTCCACATCCAGGGGTTCTCTGCGGGTCACCATGAGTCCTCCAGCAGCCGTAAGGACCCTTGGGGGCGTCGAGCCCACGCTCCCAGTAGGGTAAATGAAGTCATCGGGCGTTCACGCCATTGGCCTCTGTGGCTCTCACCTGTGGCTTTGATATTGTTAGGGTGGAAGGAGCGTGAGCACCGTGCATGACTACACACACCTGAGCAAGTGCGTGCGCACGCGCAAGCGTGCGCACCTGTGCCGAGGAGGGAGGGAATAAAAGGGCCGCGTCACGCTGGGGGAGGGGCTCAAGCTGCTGCCTGGCTGCTGGCTTGTTACCTTGCTCCCGCCAAGACCTGTGAAGATGCCCGGGCTCCAAAATTCTCTTTCAAATTGCTGGGCGAAGCGGACCTCTCCTGTCTTCCCCTGCTCCCCTCTTTCTCTCTCTCTGGTGAATCCTCTTACCGCACTTCACCCCCTGCCAAGAAAAAGCCGCTAGAACCTAACTTGAACCTGCCCCTGCTGGCCTGGGGTGGGCGCTAAATACCCCGCTGGTCTCTCGCTCAGTGGGCAGCAGAACCTCACCGCACTGGGGCCGGCAGCGTAGCCCTTTGAAGCTGGGGAAAGTGGGGGGCGGCGGCGGCTTGGAGGGGCTGGGGAAGGAGGCTGGGGAAAGTAGAGGAGGGGGAAGGCTGGGTGGGAGAGGCAATTTGTTGGTCACCCAGGAGAACAGGAGACTGGGGTCTCCCGATGGCGCGTGCCCCACAGGGAGGCTCCAGGAAGCCCGCTGGCGAGGGGGGCGGTCCTCGAACTCGGAGGGCAGAGCTGAAGGCAGACTGGGTTGCTGGGCGACCGGGGGCTGTTTACCGTCTGGTCTGGGGCAGAGAGCGCAGGAGGGTGGGACTGGCCACCGTAGACAGCCGCTTCCACCATGGCCTCCCGCAGCGCGGGCACCCTACTGACTGAGTTTAATGCCTCCTACGTGCCCCCCAGCCTCATGCCCGGGTAAGGTCGCACGCACCCAGACCCAGCCTGAACTCGGGGTCAGAGTCTGCCCACCGCATCCCTTTTCCTCACGGGGTGGGGCGGGGGAGGGGCGCCTCTGTTGGAAAGCCCCCTGCTCCTGGGGGCTTTGGAAGAAGCTGGCTCGGCTTTGTGGTGGTTCCGGGGTTTACGTGCCCTGGACTAGCAGCCGGCGACTAGGCGACAAGAAGTGGGGGCAGGTCCCTTTTCTAGACAGAGGTGGGCTTTAGTGAGCGGAGCCACACCCAGCCCCATACATAGGGCCTCCTCTGGGCGGGCCGGGTACCGGAGAACAGGATCCACCTTAGGGGCAGGTGATGACGACGATGCCCAGGCGGAGGGGACGGGCTTTTTCTCCCGTCTCACCGCACAGTGCACACTTTGCTCAAATCAGTATCTGCCAGTTGAAGTGAAGGAGCCGGTGGGCAGCAGTTAAGGGGCCTGGCAGCCTGCCGGGCTTCCCCCTTGATCCTCACCGTTTTCAGCTGTCAGGCCTGGAGCTCCCTCCCCGGTGTTTACAAACAATATGCAGATGCAGACTTCTCTGTTCTCTGGCCCTTTCTAGCGAGTGTCTGAGCCTGGGCTCCAGAATCTCTCCCACAGCGTGGGGGTGCCTTTGCCACCAGTGAATGTGGGCACTGGCCAGAGCGGAGCTGGTTGGGGGTGGGGCCGGGAGTGGTACAGTCTTGGCACAATTATGGAGCAGGGAAGAATGAGTGAAGTCTTGAGGGTCCTCAGCATGGTCTTCAACAGCACTGCTCTTGCAAACTGACAGGCTGCCAAATGAAGACGAGACCTCACGGCGTATTTCGCGTGATGCTTGCATTGTCGTGAGCAGAAGCAAGATGCCGAGGGGCTGCCTTGTAAAAGTGGCTTCTGTGCATAGACGCAGCCGGGTCATCAGGGCTGGGACTGAAGCTTCTGCAGCCTCTGTGGACAGGACCTTTCTCCGGGTCCTGGGGAGCTCAGAAGCGACTTCTGTTCTTGTCAGACAAAGCGGACTTAGTTTCCTGAGCTCAAGCGTGTTAAGAACTGTGACACACACTTGGATAATTAGGATTTTCCTACTGATTCCTTCGTTTATGTAAACATTCCTTTGGAAAAGGCATGTTGAGGGTACCAGGCTGGGAATGTGCCAGGTATTGTGTTGAGAACGCTTGGGGCGGCCTTTGAGGGAGGCCCAGTCTGATGCCCTCAAAGGTGTAGTTGAGGCCAGGCTGCAGTCTCAGGCATGAGTCACACCGAGGCCTGGGTGTTTATGGAGATTCCTTTTTCACACTGATTTTTTTTTTCCTTACTGCCCCATACAATCTCACCTTTAAAACTAGCCCTCTTGAGACTCCCCCACTGTCTGGTGTTGGGAAGGGTGAAGGAGGAATTGCCCAGGCCAGGTGCAGCCCCTGATGCTTCTTTCTGCCACTTTCCTGCAGCCTAATACCCCATCCTGAGACTGAGAAACGTGCTAACAAGTAGACCATAAAGCTCCACACTTGGAAGGCTGGTTTGAACCCTTGGGCCTGCACCTCCTGCTTTCTCAGTGGATCTCCCTGGGAGGGTATGGTCTCCCAAATCCATGGACAGGGGTTGAATTGGAAGGTCTTAGGCTCCCGAAAGCTAGCTCATAGATAGTTTTGTTAATAAGAGAATCCATGATTTCCCACCACACACACTTGGATAATTAGTATTTTTGTGTGTCTTTTCCAGCATTAATCACAGGATTTTTGAAGGGCAGCCGGCCTCTTCTGGCACTCCAGGTGCCCCCCTCACGGCTTTACCCACAGACAGGATGCAGGACCATGGGCCTCCCAAGTCAGGGAGCCCAGCGCCCTCCAGTTCAGGGGTCGCCTGAGCCCGGGGCTGAAGATGAGCCAGGGGGTGGGCGCCAGGGCTGGGGGCCTGGTGTAGCAGTGTGAGCCCCAGGCGTGAGCACCTGCTATGGACCTAGCTCTTTGCTGGCTCTTTGCAAACTTCTAGACCTTCACAAAGACCCAGGCGGGTGTGGTCATTCAGCAAACTGCCCAGCCAGGTCTTCCTGTCTTCCACACCCAGTTGTCCCCACTCTGCAGCCTCTGCCTGGCTCCATCCCCCTGGGTGAGTTTTCCTTTCTCTCCTCACTTACCTGTGAACTGGGGATAATGATCTTTAGGCTCCAGGAGGCTTCAATCAGTGAAGTGATAAAGCCTGGTGCATGAGTCAGCTAGTTCTTCTCATTCCTGGGATCCCCGTAGTGATCAAGGCCTGATTCTAGGCACATGGGGCGTGCTGGTCTCCAAGCTTTGGCCAGGAAGCCCCATCTGGTCCCTTAGCACTCTGGGAACACGGCCCCCGGGCACCTTGCCAATGCCTGGCCTGCGTGCCATCCGGGCAGTGAATGACTACGCACTTATCCTTTTATTGTTAATATAGTGTCTCTAAGTGCAACGTTATGTAATTTAATCCATTTAATATATATATAAATATATTTAATGTACCAAGCTTCAGAAGAGGCCGGCTGCACTTAAACATCCTGGCTTGTTGACCGCAGCAAAATCCTGCAGGCTTAGCAGTGGGTGCTTTCGAGCCAGTGGGAGCCGGCCCTGCACCTGCTCCAGCTCACTTCACCCCTCAGTGAGTGGGGTGCTGGCCAGGGAGCGGAGGGCAGTTTTGGCAGCTGCATTTCTGAAACCTCTTCCCTGTCAGCCGGCTTGGTGTGGGGGTTGGGGGGGGCTGCAGTCCCTAAGGTTGGCCAGGAGGAGTCGGGGTCCCTGTGAGGCCAAGGGCGGTGGCTGATGACTCTCCCACCACCCCCACCACCCCGAGGAACTGGGGACCTCATAAGGACTGGAGGTCCTTCCTTCTCTCCAGAAGAATCATCAAGCACTAAAAATGTGCCTCCACCTGGCCGTTCAAGGCAAAGATTTGTAAAGCACCTGTGTGCTGCGCTGTAAATACTGGTGGATACAGCTCTCTCAAAAGCTGGACTAAGGGCCCAAGTGGTGCCCCCCCTCCCCCTACCCCCCCCACCAGGGCAGATGAAGAGCAGACACCAGGTGGTGGGATCAGGAGAGGAGCCCAGGAATGTGGGTCTTTGAAATCTGCCTTGACGCATGGATATGGTCGTAACTGGGAGACAAGTATGTTCTGCATGGAAGGGTCAGCAGCAGGAAATGCTTTAAGGCAGCCAGTGCCCACCAGGGAGAGGGACAGCTGGCAAGAAAGTGGGTGATGAAGCAAAAGACATTCACAGAGGCGGCATCAAGCAGGGCCTGAGCCCTGCCCAGGGTGTTCTTAACTTGTAGGCAGTGGGGGGCCCGGAAGTTGTGTGCCCAGGGGAAGGCCCTGAGGAGCACTGAGCTCAGCAGTAAGTACCGTGAGGAGGGTGTGTGGAACCAGGACGCGCTGGAAGGCAGCAAGTTAATTAGCTAATAAGGCTGCTCATGGGCTCCCCGAAGGCTCATGGTAATTAATTTTAATGTCAGCTAGGGGGCCGAGCGGGGCTGTTGCCCAGTTTCCTGTGTGCACAGTAACCACAGCTGACTAGATGCACGCCTGACTGCTGCCCGGGGTGGGCACGGAAGAGGGGGCCTGGGGATTGTTGAATGCTCCTGCCAGGCCCCTCTGTTCTTTCCCAGCCTGGGCCTGCGCATGATCTCCGACCTCCAGAAAGTACTGCACAGGGCCGTACTCAAGGCACCCACACTCGGTGCAAACAGGGACATAGACCTACAGCCCCCGGGTGCCCGAAACAGGGACATAGACCTGCAGCCTGGGGTGCCTGAAACAGGGACATAGACCTGCAGCCCCGGGGTGCCCGAAACAGGGACATAGACCTGCAGCCCTGGGGTGTCCGCTGAGTGCCAGTAAGTGTGCACTTGTGCACAGACGCGCACACCTGCTCCTGTCTGAGCAGCAGGTTCTGAAGGGAAGCAGGAAGCTGGGATCCAGCAACCTTGGAGGAGAGGAGAGGAGGAGAGGGCTGCTGTTCTATTGGGATGCAAATACCTTGGCAGTCAGAGAAGGTGGGAAGGCGGGGAGCTGAGGAGGAGGGGGGGTGGCACAGGCTGGAGGTGGTGGAAGAGAGTCACAGGAACTCTTCACATTTACAGCTCCTTTCTCTGGGAGTGCAAAGGCCTCTGTGGGTGGGACGCATTGTCCCCCCACACCCCAGCAAGGCCCTTACAGCAGGGGGTGCCTCCAGAGTTTCTGGACTTTTGCTTCCCCCAGTGAACACCTACTGAACGTCATGTGTCAGGTGCTGGGTAGCAGAAGACAAGTTGCAGAGGAGATGAACGGATGGGCATCTGGTGTGGGTGAAGGATGCCATCCTGATGTGAGCCCAGTGGCTAGGTGGGGGAGGTCCGGGAGGTGAAGGCTCAGGCTGGGGCAGCTCTCACTGGGGTGTCCAGAGGTTGAGCCCCACTTCCAGGGCACAGGGCTCTGGCGGAGGAATGAGAAGGCGAGGAGAGGGCAGCTGAGGTGTGCCTGGGGGAAATGACTCTGGCATCAGCTGGGCAATAGGCCAGAGGGGTGGATGTTGGCCTCAGAGGCCAGTTAGGAGAAGTGAGTCTGTCCAGGTGAGCGAAAGGGGAAGTCTCAGCCCTGGGCCATGGAGCACATGGGAAAGTCACCATGGAGAAAGTGGGAGCAGGACTTGGGGCAAGGGCCGGTGTGCTAGGAGGATGGCAGAATAGTTCAGGTTCCGGGGTGTTCCCGTGGATTCTGTGGGTAGGGTGGCGTCGAGCAGGGGAGGGCGATCTGGGTGGAGTGGGCTGAGCCCACTACCTGTGCAGGTAGCAGCTGTCTACACAGACCATGGGGAGGGAGGATGTCGGGGTGGGAGGGGAGGAGGGCTCTGAGCCTGAGATACAGCTGGGCGTTGTCAGTGTGGACAGTCTGACATGGATGAGCTCCCCGAGGGAGTGGAGCCTGGAGAGAGAAGTCTTGGGTAACACAGACCTGCGAGATGATGGGGCCAGAATCAGGCCCCATTTGCACCCTCTGTGCCGAGGTTCTCAAAGCCTCACCCCAGGGCAAGCCCCTTTGTGGGGTTCCGCCACAGGGACAGGCCTCCCCCTTATGGCTAACAGCATCATGACCTTGACCACCGGCGGCCCCCCACAGCCAGACTCGCAGACACTGGGCGGTAGGACCCAGCAGGAGGGCCGGGCTGTGTCCAGGCCTTCACTCGGCCCGCCAGGGCGCCCGTCCGTGCCCCAGCCAGAATCCTGCTGTCACCCCAGGGTAGCACTGGCTGACCTTCACCCCTCTCTCTCTACGAGTAATTCAGAGACAAGGCCAGATGGGCGGCGGCTGGACAGACAGGTGGTCCTGTAAACATCCGGGCATGTCCTATTCCGTGAAGAGCGAGTGTGGGGTTTAGTCTCAGCGGGGTTCAGGAAGAGGTACGGTAGATGAGTGCTAATTTAAACCCAGCAGTCCAGCTACAGGTGTGTGTGTGAGAAAGGGGAAGAAGAGGAGCAGGAGGGGTGCAGAGGAGAGCCAGCCGGGGCTGGGGCCCTGATGCCGGGCTATTTCAGGGACATGCTTCAGCGTAGGTGCCAAGGCTGACTTCAGCGTCAGAGCACACACCCTGCACCCACCCCCCCGCCCGCCATTCTTGTTGCTTAAAATACTTTTTACCTTGACAGGTTGCGTGACATTTCTGTGCTGCTCGGCAGCCGGCCCCTCACCTACTTGCTATTCCTGGTGCTGAGCTTAAACGTGCCCGCAGGCCCTGCGCTGCCTGGGCCTGCACCCCGCAGGTTTTCTCTGGAGTTACCTCTCCGAGGCAGGATCTGTCGCTCAGTCGACTTCCCAATAGCCTGCCCGGCCTGGGTGGCAGGAGGGGCCTGGCTGCCCCCGGCCCAGGCTGCGGCCTGCGGGTGAGCTGGGCCCCACCCTCCCTCCCTGCAGTCTCCAGGCTGAGCCCCGAGGCTTCCTCGGTTCTGAGCCGCTTGCACTGACAGCTGACATTGGAGACTGGGGCTGATGCCGCACCCCAGAAGGGTCAGGACTGGGCCAGGGCAGGGTGTCCCCGAAACAGGGCACAAGAGCGGTGTGGGCTGCCTCCAGCAATCCTCGCCAAGGGGAGAGCGGGTTGGGCCCCACACCGAGGGCTCTCCCGGATCGAGGCAGAGGTGTGGCCCGACTGCACGTTTTTGACATCTTGATGCATTAAACTTGTATTTTTTTATATTATTTTTTATTTGTGTATACAGAACTGGGGTACAGGCCAGAGGCTCAGGGGCGGTGAGAGGCTTCACCAGAGACAGAGTGAGGAGCAGAACAGGCAGATCGACGAAGTACACTGCTGAGGGGAGCAGCGGGCGGGTCAGAGAGGTCTGCCTCGCCATGTGGTCACCTCCGGGGCAGGCAGGAATCGAACTCATGAGGATGCAGTTTTAGATTCTCAGTGCTGTGCTTTAACCCACTGCGCCACCAGGGAGGGCCTAAACTTGTATTTTTATTAAGCGCCAGGCATAACAGCGTGCTCAGGCGCCCAATTCCACTCCTCGGGCTGCGTATCTTCTAAAGACGTGTCATCCTCGGGGTGAGCCTGCATGGGATGGGGGGATCTTCTAGGACCTTCCTGAAAAATTCAGCTCACGTGGGGGTGATGGGTCAGAAGCCAGACTGTGGGGGTCACGGAAAGCGTGGGAACAGAAGAAAGGAAGGCTCGGCGCTCCTTAGAGAAACTCGGAAGTCAGAGGAGCCGATGGGGAGGTCGCCCAGGGCTCGCTGTAGCGCCTTGAATGTAAGGGGAGCTCGGGCAGCTTCGGAGGCAGAAAGGAAGAAGCCAGGAAGAGCAGAGTGAGGCTGGCAGGGGCCGAGAGGAGGAAGAGGCTGGTGCCAGGAGGGGCTCCGGCCCAGGAGGGCACGCCGGGGCCAAGGGCACTCTGTCCTAGAAGTGGACGCAGGGACGGGCAGGCAGGCTGCCGGACACTGCAATGCCACCAGCTCCAGGACAGCACAGGGCCACTGGCAACAACTCGGGCAGGCAGAGGGGGTGGGACGGCCGAGGCCACCAAGGGCTTGGCGTCCAGGGCAGAGAGGCTGGTCACTCACTCCCTGCTCTGGCCATGGTCCCCGGGGTGCTGGGCGGGTCAGGAACCAGAAGAGGAGCCTTTCCGGAGTTTGCCCACATCCGGTGGGGGAGGGGAACACTGGGAAACACTGTCCATCCATGTGCTTAACCTTCTGGCCTCTCCTCTGAAGTCCAGCAGAAGGGGCTTGTGGGTGGGCATCCTGCCCCAGAGAGGGGTCCTCAGAGGCAGCCGCTGAGGCTCTGACCACAAGGGCCTCCACGCTCTGGGCTTCCCACACTTCTGGGCTCCCCCGAATGCTGATTTGGGCTCAGTGGACGGTAAGCCAGGGAGCCCCACACAGGGGCAGGGGAGAGCTAAGGTCACGGCGTGGGCCGGAGACAGGGCTGAGGAGGGGCGGGCAGAGCCGTGGGCTAAACCCACAGAAGGCGAGCAGATGGCAAGGCCAGGTCCAGAGAGGAGTTCCAGAAGAGGTCACAGTGTCTAGGGCCGCCGGGGCGTGTGGCGCCTGCTCGGAGCGGCTGCATGGTCCGCAGGGACTGGCCGGGTTTCTGGGGGTGAGGAGGGGAAGGCCCCTGCTGGAAGCCTGGGTGGCGCTGTCACTCGGTGCTGGGTGACACAGGAACAGCGTCGGGAACCAGAAGAGGCGCTTTTTCCTAGGTTGCCCACTGCCCACGGCCCACCAGGACTCTCAGCCGCTGCCCAGTCCCAGGCTTCTGGACGTGGCTCCCTCTGCTTGGCCCAAACAAGCGAGTGGCTGAGTCTGGCTCCCCCAGGGGCCTTGAGACCCTGCTCCCCGGGCTCCTGCCCCTCCCTGGGCCTGGGTGGTCACAGGAGGTGGAGCTGGGCCTCCAGCAGCCCGTGGGCGCCTGGGGGCAGCTGTGCCAGAGTGAGGCCCGGGTGCCAGCCAGGTGACTGCCTTGCCCACACCGCTTCTCATGGGCCGCTGCCCTCCAGTGGACAGTGGTTTGCCTGCAGCCCTGCCAGGCCTGGGAGGGCTCAGCCCTCTGTGAGCAGCGGCTCTGGAAAGGTGACCATCTAGGCAGGAGGAAGGGACCCAGCGTCCTTCATTTGACCCCCCCCCCCTTAAGCCCCGAGCCGGGCAGGCACCTCAGGAAGCCTGTGAAGGCCCAGAATGACCAGGGACCGGGCCCCTCACCCCGCTCCAGGGTGTGGCCTGGAGCCCTTCGCTGATCCATGCCCCCTCCCCAACATGGCAGGTACCAAGGCCACGTTCCAGGGCTGGCTTTCTCCTTCGGGGCCCCCTATGGCACCGCCACCCTCAAGTACTTCCAGGACCACCGCAACACAGCCCTGGAGAAGAGCCACACTCCCCTCTGCCAGGGCGGCCACTTCCCGACCATCTACTCCCCAAACCCCAACCTCGTGCTGGCCTCCCGCGCCTGGGAACGCCAGCTGCGCACCCCGACTGTCACCCGCTTCAACCTGGACAGCGACCGCTCCACCCAGCTTATCCGCTTCTATCAGGTGGGCTGCCCCCTCCTCCTGTGGGGCTGGGGACAGCTGCAGCCTGGGATTTCTCACTCTTCAGAGCCAGCAGGGGCCCCCATGAATTCAGCTAGGAGCCCGGGACCCAGGACTCAAGAATCTGATTTCCTAAGCACCCCGCCCAGGGGCTGCGATGATGCTTGTCCACGGCTGGCGAGGCCCTGGGCGCTCTGGGCCTGAACTGACCTCCCACCCGAGGAAAAGACCTGAGATTCGCTGCCAGGATGAATCTCTGCACCTCGGGCCTCCTGAGCACCTCCTCAGGGCCAAGTGTACTGTCAGCTGCTCATGACTCCCCTGCCCCTCTGAGAATGTGTCTGCGTCACCCTCAGCCTGGCTGGGCCTCACTGCCCTGGAGGAAGGGGCTCCCGGCCACTGTCCCTGCTCTGGTCCTCTGGCTCAGGCCTTTCCCGGGGCTGCTGGCGCTTGGGCAGGCACACACCCCACCTTCGTGGGGGCCAGGGCACCACTGCTACACCCTTGGAAGGCCCGCTTTCCCCCCACTCCCCTCGCCAGCAGCCCTCCTGCTGGGGTTCCCAAGAAGAGAACTGGTGGAAGCCTCGGGGAGACCTGTGGGGCTGTCTCAGTGGCGCCGAAGGCTCTGCCCTTCACTGATCCGTGCCCCCTCCCCCACCACGGCAGGTACCAAGGCCACACTCCGGGGCTGGCCTGTCCTTCGGGGCCCCTATGGCACAGCCACCTTCAAGCACTCTTACTGGGGAGAGCCCCACGGAGCGGGGCGGGGGCAGGGTCGAGCAGGCCGGAGCTAACCCGTGCTGCCTGCTGAGAGCCACTTGCTTTACCTCTACAGCTCCCAGGCCCACTGACTCCCCATAGCCAGGGGGCTGTGGCGCATCCTCAGGGGCGGAGCTGAGGCTCAGAGCACCCCCAGCTGAGGCTTCCTCCCTAGGCACCCCGGAGCTGCCCCTGCCCCATACACCAAGCAGGGATTGTGGGTGCCGAGGTCAGCCCCGGGCACTCACACTCTGCCCTGTCTTCCTTGGAGCTGTAGCTGGCACAGCAGCATCGGATGAACTATCAAGACAAGACCGGCATGGTGCCCCGGGTCCCCTACTTCATGCTGCCTGTGAGGGAGTGGGACCGGTACCCCATCCCCACTGATCTGTGAGTGCCTACCCACGATTCCCCCACGCACTCCACAAGCGAGCGGTCAGGCCAGGCAGTGGGATGGGAGGAACCAGGAAGAACACCTTCTTGGCTAGAGACACTGGGACTTGGGGGTGGGAGTGGGGGACACCACACCTGTGCGCGCCTGAATCTGCTCTGTGCCCCCCCCAATAGTGGCCTCCATGCCACAAAGGTGCAGCTGCTCCCGGAGCAAGGAGCTGCTGCCCTCTGGTGGCAATTCAGGGCACTACACAGAGCGGGAAGGGGTACCCCAGTCCTGTCCAGATTCAGAAAATGTCCATGGAACAAAATGTTCCCCCATACTCACCCCTGTCTGCCTCTGCATGGGAGAACTCCCTTTCCCGGGAAGGTCAGTTCCGCCCATGTAGGTAATGTGGGCAGCTTCCTCCTCTCCTACATACCCAGCAGGGACATGAGCGTCCTTGGCGCTGAGGTGTTTGGGGAATGGGCACAAGGAGGCGGCCAGACCTCAGACCTTAGGTTTCCGGTCTACGTTGACCCCTTGTTAGCCTCAAGGGCCTGGAACCGCTGGTAAGATAAAGCTTCCCACTCATCTAATGGTTTTGACAGCCACGGTCAGTCTCTCGCTGCAAGGTAGACGGTCGTGTGGCAAGCAGGGAATTAAGGCTTAGCAGTGGCCTCTGGAACGCTGCCAGCTGGCCAGTGAGGTGGCGGCACTAGAGGGGGTCAGGTCTCCCAGAGCCCACCAGGACTTCAAGCTGGCCGTCTGCACCGCTGGCGTGGCTGAGTCCGCGTGTCCCTGAAGACAGTGCGGGCCTCTCCTGGACAGGTCTCCCCTGGAGACTGCTCTGGGCAGGATGGCACCCCGGAGCGGGGGGGGGGGTGCAGAGACTCCCTGGTGTGTCCCTTCTCCAAACTGCCTGGCAGCCTGTGGTGCTGCCGACAGCTTCAGGTCCACCGCGGAGGACTGACAGGTGCCTGGGAGTGAGAGGGTCAGTGCTGCACGCAGGCCTTCCCGACGGCCTCTGTGGCCCTGGGAAAGCCCCGGCCCTTCCCTGAGTTCCATCGACAACTGTCCCCATGGCTGTCACCACCACAGCTGTCACCACCACCGTCATCACCGCCATCGTTGTCACCCTCATGAGCATCACCAGCATTTTTATGTTGGTTCCATGTCCAGCTTTCCTTGAGGTGCTTTATGTTCACCTCATTCACTCCTCAGAGCAAGGCTAAGGGGTAGGAAGTGGGGCGCGCCTCTATCAGGGCTGGGCCAGGGCCCCCGGGTCTGTGGGCACCTGCAGCCTTTGCGCTTAACCACTGGGCTGCTGGTAAACAGCTATTCTTGCCTGGGGTGCTGTGTCTCAGACGCTACGCTGGTGAGTGGTTAGTGGGGTCCCCGCGCAAGGGTGAGACCGAGTGGGGTCTGTGTCCGGCACTTCCACCCTCCTCCTGGGCACGCTGCACCACGCTGACTCTGTCTCCTCTCCAGGCCTCCTCTGAGCCCGAAAGACAAGTGGCATCTTTTAAGGGTGTCCCCTGAGAACCTGAAGACCTACCAGACGTTCCCATCGGGGAAGCGGGTGTCCCCACAGGAGCGGCAGAGGAGGGACTGCTACTTTGAGTTCAGAGCCTGACAGCCGAGGACGGCGTCCACGGCGCAGACCAGCTGGCTTTTTGCAATAAAATCTTTGGCCCTGACCTTCCTACCTCTTTTCCTCTGAGCCCCAGGGCGCCCGAGGGCCGCACAGCAGTGCTTCACAGGCCCTGAGGAAAGCTCAGCCCAGGGCCCGAGGCCTGCAACCCCAGAGGTGACCGCAGGTTGACCCAGGGGCTGCAGGTCTGCCAAGCCCAGGTGACACGTCAGTGGGGTGGAGACACCCTCCTGCCCCGCTCCGCTCCCACTGGTACAAAGGCAGGAGCTCCTTGCCGATGGAAGGGTTCTCACAACCCTCCGTGGGGCGGTGTGTCCCCCCTGCTGGCGACAGGCAGAAGGTGAGAGCTGCCCAGGGTCTGACCCAGGTCTGACACCCGCCCAGAGCTCTCCCCTGGGGCCTCCCAATCCCTAGGCTTCCCCCCAGCTCTGCCTCCCATGCGTGGAGACCGTGGGGCAGAGGTGAAGGTGCTCGGGACCCCAGCCGGCCCGGTGGCGCCTGAGAAGCTGTGCAAAGCTGCCACATTCTGCCGTCTGCCGAGACGCGCCTGGGCAGACTGGGCGTCCACTCCCAGGGCACTGGGGCTGTTTCTAGAAGGGGGCGGGAGGGAGTGGCCTGGACTAAGCCGCTGATCAGGAATCTCAATGCTTCGGGAGCCTTTGGGTAGAAGTGCACCCTGGGGTGGTTCTGGTTCTGACTGAGGCCTGGGAGGGACAGGGTCCAGGGGGGCTCGTGATCACCCCCAGGAGGTAGCCTGCCCCTCAGTAGGCAGGATCTCAGAGGCCCCATCCCAGGGTGCACCACACCACAGGAGTTCTCAGCATTCCCGCGCCTCCTGCATTGGGTCCAGGGACTCCGTCAATCAGGTGTCCCCAAACGGTGAGTCAGGGCTAAAGGCACGGATGCCCTGTGAGCCAGCGTCTAGACGCTGCCTCTGACATGGGCCTCCCACGTAGGCACCACCTGCTCTCAGAGACCCCCCATAAGGGGCTTCTCCAGGGCCTGAATCCCTGACCAGCCCCAAAGTGTTCCTGCGGTGGCCCAAGGCATGGCAGCCCAGCATTGCTCACATTGTCACGCCCCAAGGGCCTTGGGATTTCTCCAGGAGCACCAGGCACCGGCCGCCGACTGGAATGACCAGACATGCCCTTGTCTGCATGCCCTCCCCAGAAACTGGAGAGGGGCCCGCGGCGGCTGGGCGCCCCAGTGAAGGGATGGGGGTGGCGTATGTTTCCCTGGTGAACTTCATCCCATTTGGCTTGGCCTGGCTGTGGAGCGGGCTGGGACCTGACCCCTGCCCTCAGAAAGACTGACCGTCCAGCTTGCTTGGCACTGTGGGTCAACTTAAGCCCTGGAATGAACAGTTTTAATAAAAAGTACTTCTGTGTGACCCTGAATTCCAAAAATCATAGACCTTGAATTCCAAAAATCATAAAGAGATGGCTTTTCTTTTGCTTTATTAAACAATTACCATAGATGGGGAAGGAGGGTTTGGGGGGCACCGGGCATACCAGCCAGGCTGTGATGAGCACCCCCATGCTGGAGAGGGCTGAATTCCAAGCCCAGCTGTCCCCCTCAGGGTCTCCAGATCAGGCGTCTGTGGCCACATCAGCATCCCCAGAAGTGAATCCGAAAGGAGCTGAAAGAACCCCACGAGCCACATGGAGCCCTCCAATGTGAGGGCGCCCCTCACCCCAGTTCTCAGTCATCAGGACTCCCGAGCCGCCTCCCACGTCCCCTCCCTGCCCCCGTAAGCTCCCCACACCCACAGGAGGTCTCATCAGGTGTCTTTACTGTCGGTCCAATCAGAGGGATCAGAAACTGTGAGCGCAGGGAAAACCCGAGGGAGGCTGCTGTGTGGACCCCGGCAGGGATCCCAAACGGCCCGCAACACGCCAGTTGGCTCAGGGCATTTGGGCCAGGTGGGGCCCCCAAGGCCTTCCCGCCCCGGGGGGGGGCTGGCCGCCGCATCCTGCTCCAACTCCCGCCAGCATCTTCACCCTCCTGCAAACCCCTTGACCAGGGAGGTTGTGGGGGCGGGTCGCAGGATTCACAGCGGCCGAGGTGCCCCCAGGTCGGGTTGGCGGGAGGGTGTGGCCCTGGGGGCAGCGGGTGGGTCCAGAGTGGCACCCGCGGGGCGGCAGGGCCCGGACGGCGCCACCCAGAGCTCCTTACCTCATGAAGTCTGGCGACTTGGCCATGGCGTGCTCAAACTCCGAGAAAGACAGCATGTTGTCGTTGTCCAGGTCCGACTCGCCCAGCACCTGAGGGGTGCAGGGGAGCAGGGAGGGGCCATGTCAGGATGGGGCGGGGTGCAGGGCAGAGGGAGAAAAACGACAAACGCTGGGTGCTGTCAGGCCAGGCTCCCTGGGGGTGCACCCAGGCACCCCGAGTCCCTGTGAGCTGTGCTCCCCTGCCAGTCCCCACACCTCTCCCCTGTACCACCCCAAACAAGGCTGTGCAGAGCCGGGAGTCCTCTCGGTGACTCCCAAGAGCAGTGAGACTGGGTGCGGGCGAACAGGCTGACAACCCCCAGCATCTGCCATTATCCATTTAAGGTGGGGGTGGGGAGTTCCGCCCTGTAAGGGGTGCGCTCAGCCAGGGAGGCAGCAGCGATGACCCCTTAAGGTTTTATATCTGTCCCCAGTTCCCATCCAGACCAGCATTGCTGGGAGGTTCTGGTCCTGGGGCACGGGGGGCCTGGCCTCCCTTGGGGATGCTCATCTGGCTTCGGGCACTGCACCCTTTGGACGGTCACTCCGGGTTGCCTGTGTTCCAGGACACCGCAGGGAGGGCTGCAGGCCGCCGGCCCACAGTGGCCGCAGTATCGGTGGGGGGCCCTTGGCGTGGTGGCCCGGCACGCTACTTGGGGGGTCCAGAAAGGGAGCCTTGATGCTGGAGACAGGCAGAAAGTGGGGCGGGTTGCCTACAGCCGAGCGCCCACCCTCGGGCCCGCCTGCCTCCCTCCGGCCTGGGCCGCACGCACGTGGCTGGTGAGGTCCGTCAGCAGGTCCTCCGACACGTCCTGGCAGTTGAGCAGCCGCACGATGAGCCGGTGCAGGTCGTCCTCATCGATGAAGCCGTTCTCATTGAAGTCTGGGGGAGGCAGAACCCACAGACTGCATCAGCCTGCGGGGAGCCAGCAGCCCTCCCTGCACTGAGCCCGGAGCCGGGACCCAGGGAGACCCAGGGGTGGGGAAGCCAAGCCCAGGGCAGGCGGCCACGGGGGGGCACTGACATCATGGGCAGAAAGACTTCAGGGAGCCTGCGCCTGCGTGCTCTGCCCAGACACCCCGAGAGCATCGTCTGTTTGAAGCCATCGGATCTTTCATTACTCTCACGTTACGTGTTACAAAAAGTAAACTGAGGCACAGAGCTGCCCTATGGCTTATCCACATTGCCAGCAAGAGCAAGGCGGGATTCAGACCTGGCCAGGCTGGTCCACGCCAACCACTGTTCTCTGGAATCTCCATCTGGGTCTCTCAAGCCAGCATGTTTTGGGGGGCAGGGAGGCGCACAGCAGCAGCGGTTTCTAGCCCCCACCCCACGATCCTGCTCCCCTGGGCACTGTTGCTCGGCGCCGCCTTCCCTCCGGCCAGGCCTCGGTTGCAGAGAGGAGCCCAATGGATTCCTGCCCACAGGGCGCCCAGGCCGCTGGGGTGGGGTGGGGGGACAGCCAGGCACTGAGCAGCTTGGCTCTGGAAGAGAGGAACAGGGGTCCCCGATGGGTGGTTTGGGGGTGTGAACGAGGACGATTTCTGGGAGGAGGAGGACTGAAAGGCTGGGGCCTGCGGACGTGCCGAGGGTCCACGGCTGGGAAGGTACAGCCATGGGTGGTCAGTCGGCCGGCAGCGGGGCTCTGGAGAGAGTCGGAGGTCAGTCTGGAAGCTGGACCGAGCGGCAGACTCCGGAAGGCGACGACGGTGCGGACATTCTGCAGGGATATTCTCCGTTGAACGCCCCGCACAGCCCCAAGCCACGAGCTCGCACGGGGAATCTCTGCGGCAGTGAGCTCGACTGCCAGGCAGGGGCCGGTGCCTTCGTCTGTGGCTTCGTCCCCGTCACGCAGCGCAGAGGCCGATGCCCACAGAAATGCCCCCGCTTTCCCCATCTCATTCCAGCTTGGCCGAAGGGTCGCGTCGATGCTGTTGAATGCTGCATTCATTTCCCCAGTCTGGGCTTCTCCTCTGCCTTCCAGCCCCTCCTCCGGCAGTCTTGTAGGACCCTGAAACTCAACACCCCCCCACCCCCACACTGGAAGTTGTGGCCTTTGGCAGACAGGCGACTCCACGCCTCTAGTGACTCGGCCAGTGAGCGTGGGTCATCCCTGACTGTCTCCTTCCCCCATTCCCTAAGGCTAGCACCCACCAAATCCTCCTAGCTCCACCTTCAGGCGACAGTGAGCCCCCACTCTGCCTCCTGGGGCTCCTTGCCTGGAACTCTCAGCCCTGAGAACCTTCAGGTCTTTATCCAAATGCCAGCTTCTCCCCCGGGGCTGTTCAGAACCTACAATCAGTCATTGTGTGTTGCTTTTCCTGCTTTGTTTCACTTGCTAGCTTATTTCCCTCCACCAGAATATAATTTCCACCAGGGCTGAGATGTGTCTTTCTGTTTCTACTGCCTTCTCAGCTCCTCAAACAGTGCCTGCAACACAGCCGTGCTTAGCGGGTATTTGTGAATACACGCGTCTGTGTTACGTTGCCGTCAGGGAATGAACGAGCTGGCCGAGGTCACTTTGCCGTGCGGGTACCTCTACGGGCAGTCCCTGTGCGAGACACTCGTCACCGCTTCTGCAGTGATAAAACGCCCCGCTTCGGGCTGGATGTCCGGCCACGTACACTCCCGCTTCTCCCGCTGCCGAGGCCGTGGTCGCCGCTCCCTGGGGCACGGTGCGGATGCCGAGGCACAGCCGACCCCCTCCGTCCTCGAGCAGGGCCTCTCCCCAGCTGATACCACCCCGGGACGAGGCTCGGGCCGGCCTTCACCCCAGCTCTCCCTGGGTGATCGTCTCCCACAGGCAGGCGCCACGGCAGCGCAGGTGGAAGGCCGGGCAGTGCAGTGACCGTGCTGCTGCCGGGAAGCTCTGCAGCCTCCCCCAGAGGCCCGCAGTGTCCCCGGGAGCCCTGCTGGCCCAGCGCCCACAGCAGACCGCCGCAGAGGGACATGGCTTCGGCCCAAGCCGTCTGGAAACGGAGTAATTTGTTGGAGTAAAATGCAGCCCTGGACACTTGCTCTCCTTTGGGGGAGCAAGGGCAGAGACGCCTGGGGGCTGGGACCCGGGGCTCCGCAGTGCCTGTCTGCGGCCTCCGCAGTGCAGGACCTCAGGCCTGGGCCACTCCAGGCAGGTGGAGGTGGGGCTCCTGCTTGCGGCTTCCCAACAGTGGGGGTGATTAGAGAGCTAGTGATCTTCAGATACCCCGAACCCCTCATGTCATCCTCTGGACATCGCTGCCATGCTCGTCACGCCTCACTACTAAGGGAGCGCTCTCGTTCACAAAGGGCGGCCCACGTGGGTGGGGCGGGCACGGGTCACTGTCACCCCGCGAGGGCTGCAGTTGCCCCCCACCCCACGCCTCTCCCGGCTGACCCTTGAATCCAGGATTTGGTCTGACTCACTGCGGGCAATCCTCCCCGAGCCGGGGGTGAGGGCGCCCCTCTCAGACCCTACTGAGCTTCCAACCACCCACCCACCGGGGCACACCCGGCACTGTTACCCGGGCACCTCAACTCTGCAGCTGAGGCCCAGCAGCCAGTTCTTAACCCGCCACCCCACCCCACCCCACCCCACCCCATCCCAGGGTGATGGAGTCCAGCCTGCGGCCTTTTGGGAAAGAGTGGGTTCCGGCAGGGCTTCTTGAACTTCCGAGGGCGGAGAGAGCGGGCTGGGCTCTTAGTCAGCTGCAGACTCTGACTAGCAGGTGGCGTGAGGCCTTAGGCTCTGCGGTTCTAAGGACCCACAGGGCCCACTGGTGCCGCTGGGGCGTGGCCGCGCTTGGGCCTTCGGGGAGGGCCCTGGCCAGGTCTCCGGACGCCCACTGAACCACGCCACCACCTCTACCGCCACCACCCTCTTCTGCATGCCCGCTGTGTCCTATGCCCTGTGTCACTGCTGCCACCACCTCAGTTTGATGAACAGCTACAGGGTTCCAGCACCGGGCTCAGGGGAGAGGCACGTCTTCTGTCTTGACTCTGCTCACAGCTCCGCCAGGAAACAAATCTCAGCCCAGCACGAAGAAAGCAATTGTCTGGGCGCTTCAGAAGCCGCCCTGGTGCTGAGGAGTCCCTGGGCGCACATCTGCACGGCTGATTTATACGCAGGCTTTGTTCCTTTGTTTCTGTGCTGAGCTCAAGGTGGAAGGAACCTCTGGAGGGCTGGGAGCGAGGCTGGCGGAAGACACGAGGCCAGCGTGGAGGCAGGTGGCATCTGGGCCTTGACCTGAGCTGAGGCACTGCCTGACCTCGGGGAAGGGAGGCCATTCACCCCAGTTCTGAGCTCCACAATCTAGCTCCTGTGCTTCGAAGCCTGAAGAAACCCTGCTGCTCTTCCCGCTCCCTGAAGAGTTTGGATGTTTTTGTTTGTTTTAGCTCCAGAAACCGTGGAAAGGCAGCTGAGGCAGACACCTTTGGGGATATCTGCCCAGCATCAACTTTGCCATCTCTGAGAAGTGCCTCCCCACCCCCCCCCTCCCCGGCGGGAGGCCTCGGGAGCCATGTCTGCTAGGTGGCTGCTGCTCCCTGGCCATTGTTGCTTGGACCAGGCCGGTCATCTGGCCCAGGGGCACTAGAGTGTTGGCTCAGCGGAGTCACCAGCATCTCCTGACAGATGCTTGTGGCCAGTCAGTGAGAGTGGGGCCCACAGGACACGTGGGGGCCAGAGGGCCTGTAGGCCCAGAGGCATGGAATCAGGCCTGCAGCAAAACCCTGCTCCTGTCCGTGCACCTGCGGAGACTGGGCTGCTGTGGAGAGATGGACGACACCGCTGTCTCGCAACCTGGCCAGCTTGCGGGAGGCCCGCCCAGTCCTACCATGGCGCCACACTGCTGTGGTGGGCAGCCCGAGCGTGCCCTTCCCCTAATGCGCTCTTGGCATGCACATCAGCATAATCCACACCCGTCTGGAGTGTGGACAGGGACCGTGACTGGCAGGCAGGCGTCGCTTCTGTGATTTCCTGTGATTTTCATTACGGTCGGTAAGGTTCCATCTTGTGAGCAAGTGGCCCTGGGGAGGACCCATGTGGCAGGGGGAGGGCAGCCTCCAGCCGCCAGCCAGCAAGAAGCTCAGGGCTCCACGTCACAGCCACCAGCAGCCTAGGTGGCTTGTCTGGGTTCTTTTCCCTCACAAGAGCCTTGACTGTAGCCGTGGGAACCCTAAGACGAGCACCAGTGAGTTCCTGACCATGGAAACTGAGATCGCAAACCGCTGTCACGCAGTCGCTGAGTGCCGCTGGCTGTGCCACAGCCTTGGAGAGCCCGTGCTCTGCTGCTGCTCCCGAGCAGGCGAGCTCTGCTCCACGCAGCCTGCAGACTGCTGGCGAGGCCATGAGCACCCAGTGCTCTCCGTGCGAGGACCTGCCCGTCCAGAAGAGTGGGGACGGGAGGGGGCAGCAGCTTGGAGAGTGACGCCGGCCAGCTGGAGGTCTGACAGAGACGAGCAAGAGCCAGAACACCTGCGGCCCCTAAGGAACACCCTGGGGACTCCTGGAAATAGTCGGGGTGGGGAAGGAGGAAGACTGGTGGGGGGTGGGCACGACAAGCCAACCAACCTGGGTGTGGGGGCTTCTTTTGTGCCTAGACCCAACAGTGAAGTGTTGGGCCCATTACACTGAGTCAGCTCTAGTGCTCCCACCTTTCTTTCTATTAAACAAGCATAATTTCTTCGTGCTCTTCTACATAGCATCCTCGCGCTCTCTCCCTCTCATTGCCCACACCACAACCATCAGATGTCAACGCCAGCAGCTCCCCTTGCCACCCACGGCGTGAGGGGCGTGGTTCCCAACAGGAATGGCAGTTCTCAGTCTTTTGTGGCCTGTAATACCCAAGAAACACTGCATGGCCACGACACCCAGCAAGCCCCAGGGACACCATCCCAGCAGCACCCCAGACGCGGTGGTGGGGGGTCCAGCTGTGGCGCTGCGGGTGTCCCCAGCCCCCACACACCTACCGTAGATGCGGAAGGCATACTCGATCTTCAGGCTGGGGCAGGCCTGCTCGCTGAACACAGAGGCCATGCCCAGCACGTCCTCGAAGGAGAACACGTTGTTGTGTGAGAACACTCTGCAGATTCGGTCTCGGAAAGGGTTGACCTGTGGGTGTGGGGCAGGAGGGGAGACATTCCAGAGCCGTCAGGCGAGCGCCTCCCGAGGCTTGCTCCCCTTCCCGAAGCACAGCGTCTCAGGGTTGAAAGGAAAGAAGAGCCACCCCCTAAATACTGCAGGAGGGACGGGTCTGCGGGCCAGGACGCTGGGCGCCAGGAAGGAGGGCGGGCCTGGGTCACGTCCCCACACACACCTGTGCCTCTCACACTTCCCCAGGGCTCCATTGTTGGTTGTTACTCTTTTGAATGGTCAGTAATTTTTCTCCATTTTCTGTATGAAATATGAAAAATGCTTAATAACTAGGATTAAACACTGTGTGTGCTCCACCTCCCAGAGGTAGCCACTGTCAACTTATTGATGTAGATGTCAGATGGACCTGGGGCGCCCCGATTTGCCAGTGACCTTACAGCAGACAGATCGCATAACCTCCGGAGGCTACGGTTTCTCGTCTGCGAGGGAGGGGAGCTGCTCCATTTCTCTAGTTAGGTCTGGGGGAGGATTAAGCAGGGTCGGTTCAAGCCAGTGTTGGGCGAGCAAATACCACCCAACAAACGGTAGCTGTTTGCTGTCGTTTAACTGCTATCGGGAGCAGCGGTTCTGACACTGAAACCTAGTTCACAAATCAGCACGCCAGTGAGTAAGGATCCAGTGATTTTAGAAACGCTGCTTCCCTTAAACTGGGCTTGGCCGAGTTCTGCAAGCGAGGGCCATGTGCTGAGCAAATGCCCAGCGCTTCTCCGCCAGCCCCAAGGAGGCGGCCTGGCCACTCCGCCTCCAGCCTCAGAGCACAGCAGGTGGGCACGCTGTGAGGCAGGCAGTGGGCAGATGCTGTGAGTTCAGATGACAGTGAAGCGGAAAGGGGCTTCTAACCCGACGGGGCTGTGTCCTCATGAAAGAGGCAATCTGGGCCTGGACATACACACTCAGGGAGGAGGCTGAAGCTGCAAGCAGAGATCAGAGTGCTGTATCTGAGCCAAGGAAGGCCAACGATGGCCACAATGCACCTGAAGCAAGGAGAGAGGCATGAGCCTCCCCAAGGCCCTCAGAGGGAACCGGGCCTCCTGCCGCCCCTCTCTCCAGCATCTGGAACTGAGACGGTGCATTCCTGTTGCTGGAGCCACACTGCGCCCTCGTGCTGGCAGCCTTGACAAACCCACGCCTCTAGGGCTCCGCCTTGTAGAGAAGACAGGTGACAGGGGTGACCCTATACCGGGAGACAGACGCCTGTCCCAGGAGCGCCAGGGTGGAGGGGAGACGGGCTGCCTGTGTAGGGTAAAGGATAGTTGCTCCGGCTCTGTACTCCACTAGCCTCTGGGGCGATCACCTGCAGCCCTGACTGAGGTAATGTGGAGGCTCTTGGGCAGGGCACGCATGCCTGACTATGGACACCTGAGCACAGGTGTGTAAGTGCAAGTGTGCACACCTGGGCCTAGGAGAGAGCCGATAAAGGTAGGCGGTGAGGCCCAGCCACGTGACTACAGAGCGGCCAGACAGTAAGAGCCACGGAGAGACCCAGAGAAGGAGTAAAGATGGTGGGGAGGGGGCTGGTGGGGAGCTGCCTGCCGGCTCCCAGGGCCCTGCCTCCTCAGCCTGCAGGCTAGCCACAGCATGTGCCACACCTGACAAGGTCCCCACTCTGCTTCCTCCATCCTCTCACCTCAACAGCCCCCTCCCAGATGCTTGTCCCAGCCTCAAATACTCAGTCACTCCTATCTAAGTGGCTTTACAAACTACCTTGACAAATGTAATCAAATTAATTCTCACAAATGGACAGGTGGCTTAACAAGCTTCCTGCAAGGAAGCCACTGCCGAGGATACTGCTTGTCATGCAAATACAAGTAAACAAGAAAATGTCAGGGCAGACACAGGTTCTCCCCGATGAGGCAGAAACACTGAGAATCCAGTCAGGTGTAAGGAGACCTCCTGGCTTAATCTCTCCTCCTGAGCTTGGAGAGGTGAGAGGCTGATGAACCCGCTCATCACCAAGCCACAAGCCCACCAGGGAACAGACTCCAACCTTCCCTTCCCTGGGGGCCTCCTCATTTCTGGGCTTTGCTAGTATGAGGTCATTGTGGGAGGTGGGGGAGGAGAAGAGTGATTGTGGGGAGCCACGCCCCCGTGTCATGTGACTGATCTGCTCACGTGCCTGCCTCTAACTGATGGTGGAGGAAAGGGTGTGCAGTGTGGCCAACATGGTGAACACTGATCTTGGGGGAACAGGCAGAGAAAATACTGCTCTGGAGAAAAAAGCACTAGAACAAATTTCACACTGTGGAAAGTTGGCCAAATAGTTGAAGAAGCATCCAAGTGTCTCTAATAGGGTTTTTGAAGTCCACGCAGAACCACGTTTCTGTGAGGCAGAAAGGAAGGAGGAGATACAGACCCAGCAGCGCATCACGACTTTTATAAAAACACCATTTATGGGAAAATTGTCTCAACGCGATCACAGATGGGGCCCCACGATGAACAGAGACTAGAAAGGAGCAGGGGTGGCGGCGGGAGGGGAACTAATTTCCTGCAGGATTTTCTGCAGACCACTGCACTCACAAAGCTAAATCCAGAAGTATGGGCAGTGCTCACTGATGTGGTTAGTTTCTTTTAAAAGAGTTGGAAGTATTGTCTAGCTCAAAGATGCCTAGCCAGAAGAGAAGTGACTATGAAAATCTTGACTCACTGAGAAGTTTAATTCAACAGCAAATGAATATATTCATACAATAGGAGCATGAACCACTTTTTTTTTTTTCACCGTTGTGGGGTGCATGATCAAAGAGTATCTTTTGATTAACTCTTGACAGAGCACTTACAATGGCCATCAGGCTCAGAGAGGAATCATCTACGGTTCTTGCACAAAAAGACAAGCATTTCAAATTTGCAGGTTTTTTATGATAACAAGTAGCTGTTGGCAGTTTTTGACCTAACAGAATCCGCCAAAAAATAAACTCAAATTCTTCTGACTCTTCAAAGTTGGAAGTGATTCGTTTTAACAAAAGAACATATCCTCACTTTTCCAAAGCAACTCATGCTTTCAAGAGAGTATATTGAAAATAAGAGTACTGTTGTCGTTAACAGGTGTTATCTATAAAAATGCTGTTATCTGTGTATAGGGAAATATGGCAAAAAGGCTTTTCTAATTCATTCGAAAATCATCCAAAGGAAGAGCGTTGATGGATTTTAAAGTCCATTAGTTAAAAATAGCAAAAGGCAATGTCTTCTGATAAGTTTGTAAGAGCCACTGATTGACATAAAGGAAGCTGGACATCTTCTAGGTTAGTTTCAATAAAAAACCTCTAATTGGTGGATGGGGCTGCAAATCAGGGCTACAATTTAATTCATGCAGCCATGTTACACTTCTTCTCTTTGGATCAGCTCTGACAAGCATTAAAAATAAACTCAGCTAGAACCAGACTTATGAACAGCTTGATATCAAAGTGACATTGCGTCCCCATACACAGTAGTTAATTGTTTGCAAACAATGAACTCGTGAGAAGATGAGATGCTGTTATTTAAAATAAAGAATATGTTTGGAAAGTACTTTATATAATCTTTTAATTTGTTTATTTAGTATGTTTATATTATATTAGTCTTGTAGTAAGGAGGGTATAGTGTGTAAATGAATATCCCAGGAGCATGAACCAGTTTTTCACTGCTGGGGATGTATAATCAAAGAAGTTAGCAGATCTCAGGTCAAAGTTAGCCCCCACATCACACAGGTAGAAGGGAGGCTCTGGGGGAAGGAGGGTGCTGAGCCCACGGTCACTCAGGAAGCAAGTGGGAAGGCCAGCTTAGGGACCCCTCCGGCCATCTAGCCCTTCCCACCCCCACTGTCTCTGGTGCTCTGTGTCTCATAAACCTGGAAGAGAAAGCTGGTGATGGAGGCTAAACATGCGACAGGTGAAATGCAGAAACCCTTGCAAGTGGAGCCCTCTTAAAATTCTTCCTTTAATCTTAAAAGTGTTTTTGATACCAAGTGCAAAAATGGAGTCTTGCCTAGGAGAGCTGTGCCTGTCACTCATGGTGGCCACTGGGGGTGTGGGCCCCCCTGAAGGAGGAGGACAGGAGAATGGCTGCAGGAGAAAGAAGCCAAAAGGAGAAGATGAAGGCTCCCCAGACCACCAGGCTTTGGGGGTGGTGGGAGCCAGGTGGGCAAGCTGCTCCTGAGAGGGTGTGGGCAGAGGACTGGCCACAGGGCTCGGTCACCAGAGTCCCTGGCACAGAGCTCTCTAGGACATGTCTGTAGCACACAAGCAGCACCAAGCACAGGGGCCCCAGAAGGTGCTGAGAGGAAAGTTCCTGAGGGTGGGAGAGGCTGCCTCCCGCTTCTGCTCTCTCAAGCCCAACTCAGCAGCCAGCCAGCCAGAGGAACAGCAGAAAAGAGGCAGGGCGCAAGGCTCATTAGTGACCACAGTTTACTGTGTTCCAGATTTGTGTTGCTATTACTTTAACAATCTGAAATCTGAACCAATGCATTTGGGGCCCCAGCCAGAGAGTTATAGTCTGGCTTCAATTTCACAGTTGTTTAGCAATCTTCAATCTTCCAGAGGATGACGAAGATGACAGTTGACAAAGCAACACTTCCTATTCAAGAATAAGGTGTACCCTGGTGGGAAGGTGTTCAGATTAGGGGATATTAAACATAGCAATGTAGAAATGTATCCAGGTAATTTGGCAGTGCAGTCTCCATCTCTGCATGATGAAACTAGCGATGAAAATAACCTCCAAATGCTGGGGACTTTTTTGGAAACAGAAACTACAGTTTGTTGACAATAAAGATTGCAGTCTCTGCCAAAATCCGAAAGCTTTTTAAAAAAGACCTTCTCAAAGTTATTGAACAAGAGGTTTGATTTGAAGATGAAAGTCACAAGGAAAATATTTGGACTTAGCTTAAAAATATCTCCTCCCCACTTCTCCAACTAGCACATAGTAAAAAGAGCTTTTTACAGTTGCTGGAAAAAAAACACACAAAGATACTCGGTGACTCAATCATGACA